TTTGTCTAGTGGGACTAGTAAGGTTGTTTCTTGCTTGCATAAATTAAATTGGAACAAGGTATTTCTATTTTTATCGGCCATAATAGTTTATATGGATTTCAGGAAAGTCTCTGTTGTCTAAGCTTATGATCGCTAGGATTTGGCACCAATTTGAACTGGTTCACATTAGGCTGATTGGCAATTAAATAAGTTTTCTCTTTGGCAGAAATTTCTTGGTTTATAATAACACTGTGTAGATGAACCCATATCGTTGGGAATAGTTTGTATCCAGGATCCTTCTAATACATTTAAGGAACTGCAATAATATGAAAAGTAGTTAGGTGATCGACTCCATGCATGGTTTACTAGATTTTGAATTAATGCTTCTTGCATTTGTTCAAAGTTCTGAATACCATATCGTACCGGTGTACTAATCAACTGTCGGTATGATACATACCGAGCTGTACCGAACGTACTAACGCATGATACACTAAAGTGTACCGATGTATCGCCCGTACTAGTCCTCTATCAAACCAGTACATACCGCTCATACTGGTTCTCTATCGGAGCGGTATGGTACGATATTACAAACCATGCATTTGTCTATAACATTTAATAAGTTAGCAAGACAATGGGGTTTTTAACTTGATAAATATTCTATGTTGGATGTTGATCATTTTAGGATATAGCATTAGTATTACTCCTGTATCTCTTTACTTGCCTCTATTTAACTTTAAACAGAAAGGATTCTTTTATCTAAGGAGACTTCATTTTGACATTGTTCAGGAATTTATTGTCAAGGAGGGCGATAGAATTGAGTTGATGGCTATGCTTGGAGTATTTGGAGCAGTTGTTAGTGCTATTCAAATGTATTCTTGGCCTTTCTGTGCATGTGTGATATTGCAGAATGCAAATTTTATTAGCACGTCCCCTTTCTCATTTATCAGGAAATCTAATCAGAACACTATCTCAACTGCAATATTATTTAACAATGTTTAGATGTATGATTAAGAACCTATGTTTAAGTTTCTTAACATCAAACATGATCCTAGGCATTTCTGATTCTTTACTTTTTCCCCAAGAATATCATTCCTAGGTAATATCCTTGTTCTATCTGTCTATGTCGTGGTGTTCAGGCTTAATCTTTTGTTTCTGTTAGCATTTAGATTGGATGTTCTGATCATTTACAAAACCCAGCAAGCTGACACGATTAGTAGAAGCCGATTTTTTCATCCTAGTTTTATCATGAAATAAAGTTGAATGATGCAAGCACATAGAAAGATTTCAGCTTTGGTTTTTGAAAGTTCATATTTAATTTTCTCTTTTCCTTAATTACTCCCAGAACCATACTTGAGCGCAATGAGCTTAAAGATATTAATTGGACAGCTGGTGCAGTAAGTCTCTCTCTCTCTCTCTCTCTCTCTCTCTCTCGCTCTCGCTCTCATAACACACATACATCGTGCATACAAATATGCTTAAAATGAGTCATAGATGCATTGTCTGTGAGATCCTTGTCAATTATTTGATTCTGTGATGCTTAAAATCATGCATTTTGCATTTGCTTACCCTGCAGAAAGATTGAAGCTTCTCTTTAGGTTATTTTGCTTCTGTTCTCTATTTTATGCTTTGATGAGGTTACAAGATGTGGATATCTTGTATGGCCTGGTCTATTTTCATCTGTGATACAATGTAACAGACGGCTTTGAACTTTTAAGTTTGGTACTATGTTGGTAACAATATGATGGTCTGGTTATATTGTTGAATTTGCAACTAGTTTGAGCCTGAGATGTTTCTTGGTAGTTGTTTCTTCATACTATAATATTAATGTTATTTTCCAGTTAATATATTTAATAACTTCTTTTTTTGACCATGTGATTTCAGGTGCTACCATTTCTTGGATTTGCATTGGCACTGTTTCTGTTTTACTCTACTGTTCCCATCATTCTTAAGGTAACATGTTGTATTAACCTCATCATGCATCATCCATAGTATGAAAAACTATTGTTAAGAAAGTTTTGCAATATGGAGAATAATGGCATTGCTCAAGCTTATGCCATCATAGGAGGACTTTTTTTCGATCTCTTTAGCTAATCTTTGATAATTCCTAAATGATGCTAAATAAAAATTGAATGGATGAACATGTGAAGAATCACAAACATGGAAAACAAACAGGAAGAATTATACTGTCATTATTAACAGTGGCATGACATCCTTTTGTTAGGCAAAATTGATAACTACTTCCATTTTATTGTCCCGGGCCAAACTTTTAGGAGCGGGCTTAACTATTACTAGAGTTATTATATATATATATATATATATAATCCTTTCCTAACAATTCAAGCTTTTGGGATTTATGATAATCTGATCAAATTCTTTTTCATGTTAACTGTCATGCACTTGAGGGGATGTTAAAGTTTCATATATGGTAATATATATCGGCATTCTTTATTGTCTAGAATGCCAAAATAGAAAGTACTTTTTAAGTTTTATCTAATCATATACCTACTCCTGCCACTCAAAATGTTACAATTAAATTATCATCTTAAACACAATCAGTTGTGTTCTGTTTCCCTTCTTGCAAAATCATATTAGGGTCACTAGTCAAAGAATTGAGTACAACTGATGATGGGAGATCCCTACCTCACTCCATGTTTTCCACTTACTGGTTCTTTTATTTATCGATTATCATGCAGATATGTGGAGCAACCCTGCTAAATCTTTCACTGCTAACGTCAGACATGTGGGCTGTTTTTATCCGTATTTTTGCTTATCACCAGAAGGTTAATGATCTCATATTTGCTATGATCAGTCACTTGTAAAGTTAAGATATATAGAACATAAAGCAATTTGATGTCCCTGCAGGTTGACTGGATGTACTTCATAGCTTTTGCGGCTGTTGCAGTTGGGATTGTGACTTATTCAGGGTACTCATTGCACATGATAGTGTTCTTTCTGCATCAAACACTTTTTCTAGAGAATTAAGCATTTCTCTTTTTGAATCTTTTCATACAGAGGCAAGAAGAAGGATGCAGAAAATGTGCAAGTTGCAGAGGCTAGTGATGAACGGGACAAAATAAAGGATGAAGAAGCTGGAGAGGACCATATCACTCAAGGTTTCACTGCAGCAGTTGAGGGCCAAAGTTCTGAGAATGCCAAGCAACAACCTTTCATCACAATTTCACCCAACTAAGTCTCCATCACGGCAGAAAGCCAACTTAAAAACGGAGGCAAAGGCAAGAAGGAAATGGCTACTGTCGGAGTTATGTTAGGGACACCGATGACTTGCCATTCTTTCACCGATGAGAACAGATCGAAGCAGTGGTAGCAGCAACAGTCGCGAATCATCCAAATACGAGTAAACTCCATGGAACTCTTGGTGCCACTGGATAATACTCTGCCGGAGTATCTGCTGCAGTCAATTGTAGCCTTGATGTGTATCTAGTCATGGTGTTACTGCTAGTTCTATCCAGGTGATGATGCTTGGTGAAGCTCTTCTTGCATGCTTGTGTGATCAAAAGAAGGAATCCAGCTTCATTAACAATCTGAATGTATAGGAGTTGGTTTTCTGATCTGTTGACCTTAACCATAAGAATTGTTATCTGCAACTCAAAATTAATGAGTTAATTTGCATATTGCACATTACGAGGATCCCTCACAAGTGTTCATGAATGATCAATAACCTTGAACCATGACCTTCTCTAATTCTGAAGATTCATGTTATTGATGTTTTGAGTTTGAGAGTGGGGACATGGTACTTCATTGACCTTGTCTCAGGTGAAAGGTAATGTGTTTTCGTTCACCCTATCATCATCATCATGTTCTTGGGGATATCATTATGGACCTGCAATTCATGTTACATGTGTTTTCAAGCTTAAAATGATAGTAAGATGAAACTAAAGGTTGACTAATTGGCTGTAGGAATTCATGTTACATAAAAAGATTCAACACAGATAAAAACAGATGTGACTATTGCACTACATCTGTTTTCACTGAAGGAAATTACTATATTCTTATTGTCAAAACGTCTCAATAGCTTCTGAGATTGAATTGTTGGTTGACTTTGGCAAGAAGTGAGAGCTAGCAGCTGTTCATCATTGAAACCCAAGGATTGGAGGAACTATGGTGAGCCAAAGAAGAGTCAGCACATTTGTTGAGATCAACTGAACCATATCTTTTTGAACCACTCTGCTTCTTGATTTCCTTTCATTTTAGGATGTTGACACCTCTGCTCCGTGGAGCAGATGACAGAGCTACATGACCAAATGCTCCTAATCCACGGTCCAAAATGCTAACCACAGCCCCTCATTGGTGATTCAACCTCTATAAATGCCCTGCCTTTGAAAGGCCTGAAGCATTACCACCTCCACCCTCCGCTCTCTTCACCACCACCACCTCCTCGTCCTCCTCTACCCATAGAGTTTCTTTCTGCTGCAGGAGACTCCAAAGAAAACCGTGAGGGGGTAACATGAAACACCGCGATGGCGCTGTGAGGTGGCAAACGTTGGTGATGGTGATTGCAGCTCTCATATCGGCCAACAATGCGGCTGTTGTGACCGGTGAACAGCCGTTCTTCCACTGGTTTCCACCTCCCTCTCCATCACCTCCAGCATCATCTCCTTCCCCGCTGCCGTCACCCCTGCATCCACCACCTTCTGGCTACAAGTCCCCACCTCGGCCCTTCTTGTCACCTTCAGCATCATCATACTTCTACAACTCTCCACCACCACCACCATATTATTATATGTCCCCACCGACCAGTGAGTCCTCTCCTCCACCTTACTTCTACAGTTCGATGCCGCCGCCACAGGTGAACCGTCCACGCTACCAGTATAACTCTCCGCCGCCACCTTACCACCATGACCCCGTCATTAAGGTGGTCGGCACGGTCTACTGCTACAGATGCTACAACGGGACCCATCCATTGGAATCTCCCCACAAGAAACTCCTCAAAGGTGAGATTTAAGATTATATATATATATATATATATATATATATATATATATATATATGTGTGTGTGTGTGTGTGTGTGTGTGTGT